AGAATCCAAAGCATGCAAACTGCACAAAAGTAAAAATATAGGCACAGTAGCAACTGCATTTTCAAATACCTTGTGAGCTTCCTTCAGATAAGCAGATTGATACTTCATCATTCCTATCATTATCATCCCCCACTTCAGTAGCAGTTTCCTCTCCTGGATTAAGTGCTGATTTAGAAACAAATTCAGATTGATCAGAGAAATCAGCAGGACCTCCTCTAGGGGGTGGGACCTCAATCCCCATTAAACGATATTTCCGTCTTCGATTCCCAATCCACGTCTTGTAAGAGAAATAAACATGAATGATATCAGAAACTATAACAAAAGCAACAGGCCCACAACCAAGTGAAATTAGCATATCTATACTATAGGAACAAGAGTGTAGCCAGCAGTTCAAGGCAGGTATTCCCCTGTATTTGACACTCATGAGGCTGCTTCCTGGAATACTCTGTCCAGTTTCAGTCCTCCAATACAGGGGAAAAGGGAGGTTAAGAGGCTGTAGAGCAAAAGGAAAAGAACCAACAGTCACAAGTTGCAGCATGAGAAATTCTGACTGGAGTTAAGGGAAGGAAAAAACAAACAAAAACCACACTTCACAGTGAGGGGAGTTAAGCATTAGAACAGTTTGTCCACAGAAGTTGTAGAATCTCCAACTTTGGAGATGCTCAGAATTTTACTGAGCAACATCCCGAGCAACCCAGCCTAACTCTGATGTTGGCTCTGCTCAAGAGTTGGACTAGATGACCTTGTGAGGTCCCTCCCAACCTATTCTATGAATTTAATGTAAAAATCTATAATCCACGTTCTCCCACTCTATGACTTCCACTACAGAACTAAAGCATCCAGCAACCCACACAGTCAACCTGTCTAAGATTTCCCACAGCACAAATTGTCCAAGTGGTAGCTTACATCATTCCACTTTGCAGAGGAAACATAACTCGGGAGAAATAAGCAAATTCAAAGCAGTATTATCCTTCAGTCCTCTTCGGATGGAAGATGAGTCTTTAAGAAGTATTGCTTGTAGTAAGGTATAAGAGCATACTGTAAACAGTGGTGGGAAATAGAACAGGTCCAGGATCACGGAATTTGGAGAGTCATTCTTGGTCAGATCAGTATTGACACTTTAAGTTCACTTTACACCAACAAAACTGACACTCTTTGCAAAAAAGAAAAAATTACATTCAAAATTCTCCAAGTGGAGCTGTGGAACTGGCAATCGACTTCCTTTCTTCAATAAATTATAAAGAAAAATCTACGATAAGAATTAAGGCTGGAAAAAAAAAGGAGCTTAACGTAACGGACTAGGAGTTGTCTGCAACTCTTCACCTGTTAACTCTTTTCCCTTGCGTTACACAGTCTTTTGACCTTTTGTCCAATTTCTATTCTACTCTTGTCCCCAGACACTCTGTTCCATTGAAGTCAGGTTTTTCCTGGCATCCAAAAATCTTTCTCAGAGCCAGGAATCAATTTCTTTGCCCACTTTTAATTTCCAGTCGTCTTGATCTGGATCTCCTCCTCCCTTTCCACAACATCAAAGACCCCAACAGAAGCATCATTAAAAGTACAAGTAGGACCTTCCTCCTTGTTCCAAGACCTGACCACATACTGGCACAGGAAGAATAGTTATGCAGTTTGCCCATATAAACTACAACCATATACAGTATATTTGATTACTGTGATGATTATAGACATGATTACTGCATGCACAGCATGGTCACTTACTAGGATCTGAAGCATACTAAGTGCTAGAATTTGTGGCTCACTAAAAATCTAAAGTATCTCTAGAAAGCATGGACAATTGCTATTTTTGAAAGCATACGATCATGACACGGTAAAAGGCACATTCTTATCATAAGGTTCCCAGTCTAATAGAGTTTACCATCACACTAAAATATCCTAGGACATTTTTCTTTAGAAATGTACAAGGCCACACTACTTCTGGCCTTACTTTAGAAATACCTGCATTTCTCCTCCTTCCCATTCCACTTCCTCTAAATACTAGGTAGTAATGAACTCAGCAGCAATTTCCCCAGCTTCAGCTAAACAGAGGACCAGCAACAGTTACGGATGAAAGGCTGAAGTCCAGGCAGGAGCCAGCTGATGACTGCCCTGAGGCAGCTTGTAAGAAAGTGGACTGACAAGGAGCCACTTAAAAAGCATAATTACAGCTCTTCAGATACGGAAGTTAAGGTGTCAACTTGCTAGAAAGATTCTAGGTTGGAACCTTCAGAAACGCTGCTTAAGGGGAAAAATAAAGATGGAATATCCTGAGTTATTTTTTCAATGACTCTCCATCCTAACTTGCATCTAGGCTAGGCCTAGAGCCCCCAACAGCAGTGAATTAATCAGCTGTGAAAAATGAATGGCCATTTTGCTGCAACTGATTGATTTGTTAATAAACTCAGACCTAAGCACTACCTTAAACAGTCCAGCTTTTATCTGATGAGCTGCAGGGAAAAAGGAGGATATGCCCCTAGCCTGTGGATAGGGTGCTTAGGAGAAGCACTACATCTCTTCTGTAGAAAAGCTTTCTGCTCTATCAAAAAAAAAAAAAAATAATTCTCAAATATTTCTGAGGAGCTTGGATAGCTGTCACCCTGTCCTCAAATACCTGATGTCTCACTAAAGGCTATTCCACCTTTCAGATACTATTTTGATATGAAGGAATAAAATTAGTCAAGAGAACAAAACAAACAAAATTAAGTAACTACAAAAAAAGCCCAAGAAACACAATCAGCAATAATTATAACGCGAGCATAAGAAATATTGCAAGTTTAATGAAATATTGGCCAGAGTTCACGTATTTAAATGTGACATTCCTTTTTTCTCTTTTTTCTTCCCTCTTTTTGTGTCTTGGGAACATACAAAAGACACCTGGTGGTGGAAACATGCATGATGTGCAACCAGCAGTCACTTTGCAAATCCCCTCTCCTACTACAAGTATCAAAGCCATAGAACAAAATGCCCTGTTCAACCTTCAAAGATCAAATCCGGTGGAACCGTTCATGCTGGTAAACGTCTTTCTTTGAGACAGGAGAACAGATTTGACATATTCTTTGTACTAGATATCTTTCAAGAAAGTATGAGATCATAAAGATAAGTCTTTGCACTTTTGAAAAAGTAACACTTGTCCGGACAAGTCATGAGTTTTCATCAAAAGGCTATGACGAGAAGAATGGGGAAGTGTACTGAATTGAATTAAAAATAAGTGATTTACTATGTATAAATATCTATGTAAAATAGTTATATATTTTGTTATATCACAAATGGAGCAGCAGTCACTAGTTGTACACTGTTTGGAATTCAAAGTACTGTAAGATTTACATAAAGGCAACACATACTGAAAGCGAAGAAATTCTTTACATCAGCATCCCTTTGGTCCAACTGTTTTTGGCTGAGCATACAGTATAGGGCAGAGATACTCTGTGGTTCACTAAGGCCGCACTGCTGACTGCATCACGGCTGTGTCTCGACTCCTTGTTAGAAAGGGACCATGCTGCACACTAATATCCAGACATAATGGTTTCCTTCCAAAGGAAATCCAGGTTGGCAGGTAAGGAGAAAAGCGTAATATGATGTGCCTATCTAGATCCCAAGACAGATTTAGGACAGATAACGTAGAGCACATGGAAAATATCTTTCCCATAGCTGGGACATGCACAATGCCTCTTAGAGGCTAGTCGAAAGGAAGCAGTGAAGAACACACGTCACTGTAGCATAAGCTCAACCTTTACACACCCCAAAAAGACAGAGTAGCATGGTACAGAATGAGGCTCCAACCTAGTTTTCTAATTTTTCCAAGTCTGTCATACAGAGGACTCGGAGGCAGAGGTAGGACAGATACTGCCAACACCACCAGTTACTGTAAAGAAAAAGTGTGCAGGCATGTGAATTCTATTAGAGATCATGCCATGGAGTCTTACAGAGTTCATTCGAGTCTAACAAACTGGGCATCTGCCCTGAAGAGAAAAGCATTTCAAGCAGATGCTTGAAAGGTGCTTACAGAACTCAGAAAGGTGTTTACAGAGTCATCCTGTATGTGCCAATAAGGATGTTCTTAAAGAAACAAATTAAGGGAAGTCAAGCACTGGTGTCAGTCTTACTGTCCTGTGAATAAAGCATTATACATAAAGTGGATGCAGCTTCACCTCTCAGAAAACAAACTGAAGAGCTTGGAAAACATGGAGAAACTTTGCTATCTGCATAGAAAAGAATAATTCTTTTCAGCCTCCAGAGAAATGCAATTTCTTTTTTTGTAATTCACATCTGCTTAGGAAAACAAGCAAGTATATAACCAAATTAGCTTCAATAGCGAAACTAACTTTGGTGCTATTTTAATATACCACCCCCAAAAAAGATATCCACAAAAGGAGAGTTTAAAATAAGGGCCCCCAGTTCCACTTTCACAGTAACGTCAAAGAAAGAGGTGAAAAAGAGAGAACAAAGGCTGAAGAGACTAGTCACGATTGTCATTACCATTATGATGGGAAAGTAAGACTCTAATACATCTTTCAGAAACACAGATTGCCTTGACTGCAAAGACAGTCAGACTATTTACGAAGGAATAAGGGAAGCACTCTGAATGAACGAGACACCCACAGTTTTAGAGTGACAATATATGCCTGGTAACTGTGCATACTGTGGCTACAACTGACACTGTACCAAACTTCCCAACCTCGGAAGAGATGATGTGAAATGGTTCTAAAGAATCACATTATCTACATCAGCCCTGTAGGTGATACAGGAAGGCGAAACCTTCATCAACACTACTTGTACAGACTATCAAGCTGCAGTGACCCAGCATCCTTCACAGTATCTTTTGCCCTCTATCACATCCCCACTTGGCTTCAAGAGAGCATCCGAAAATATTATTTTCCTATCTTTGAATATTCTTTCACATGTTTACAATTATCTTTCCCCTACAAGCATTAATGAAACATATTTTCCCTGTACCTTTAGAAGGGCTTTGTATTTCGATCATAACAAACAACAGCATTTTTCAGTCTTCTAGGATACCCCTATAAGACGGAACTCTTATTTAAAATCGTATTCCAGTCTAAAGAGAATATCAGACCGCTCATAGTGCTACTCTACTTGCTGATCAATAAGACTCTTACCTGAGGGCTTTTTTCTATATATAGACTGCAGAAACAGCAAGACAGCACTTCCCAACATGGTCATTCATTATGTAATACGTGAAATCTATTTCAAGCTTCCTCATGAAATTTTTAAAGGCTTTCATCTGTCCTATTTTTGTTTCTGCAACGAGGTAGGGGAAGACTCTAGATTTCTTACCCGCACTATTTCACAGTCAACATTTAATTCTGCAGCGACAGCTTCAATTTTCTCTCTGCAGACTGAGCCCAGGCTGGTCATGCCATTGTCCCAGTATTTCTTTAGGGTAGCTAAGTCTCGGTCACTAAACTGTGTGCGGTCCTGTAACTGTAAGATAAAAAGATTACTGTTAGATTAAAAAAAATTTCAGCTTATACTGCTCATTTCATCTCCAGAGGTCTTGCATACAGTAAGACACATATGTTATGCTGTCTTCTTGGCTTTTCTTCTCTTTTAACTCTCCCTTAAGAATTTTTAAGTTTGTTTTTTTATCCAGGCCAGTAGAGAGTTCTCTGGGATTTGCTTTAAAGGCAATGGCATTGCTAAAGCAAGTTTAAAGCACGTCACAGCTTTGTTTCAACTCCACCTGATTTTTAAATTTGTTTTATCTCACTGTATATGGCTTACTGAAAATAACTTCTTTTCCACTTGCACTGTTTACTCTCTCCACCCAATTTATGCATATTATTCCTTAAGGCTTTTCAAGTTTCTCACCCTCCTTGCCTAAAGTTCTTTTATCTTACTGCATACTACAATACATGCATAATTCAAAGGATTCTGAGTTCCTAGAGGGAATGCTTTAATGTTTATTTGGTAAGCTTCAGAGTTTAAATTGATTCCACTCTTTATTTGCGAGTTCCCTAACTCTATGTGCATATTTATCAAAATATGGTAGTAGATTAAGAGGTATAAACATAACACTGAGAAACAAATCCTAGACTCCCTACCACTTCTTAAACTGCGATGGGTACATAAGCACAACATGTTGCAAATGTTGTATCATTCTACCAACAGAACTTATAAGCTCTATCAATAGCTTTAAGATCAACAATCTTAATTAAGCTTCCCATTTCTTTGTGACAACCCATATTTGTCATCTCTCCTGCTTTTAGGAGTCCATAAATGCAAAAAAACCAAGGAGTAACAACATGCACCAATTTTGTTATTATTTCAGCCGCTAAAGTTAAACTATGACTTCACAATCTGAAATTAGGGTTTGCTCATTTAAAAACTGTTAAGTTAGAATGAAATTACTTTAAAAGTGAACTAAAAATTTCACAGAACTAGAATCATTTGACAGTCTTATAGGGCTATCAATGCTATTCTTCAGGATACAGCAATCTTTGCATTTTCTCTTTTTAAAATTATTATTTCTCAGAGTAGTATCTGAGTCTCTGATGTACTACTACAAAATAGAGATGTAGCTATAGTCACAGGGGGTGGCTATAGTTTCAGACATTCCAGTACAGAATTATAGCAGCTGTCTCCCTAGTCAGCCTCTCGACGGACACATCTTACACAGGCAGTGCTGCACACCAGGAGCTAATCCGTACAGTAAAGCAGCTGGTGCCGAGACCAGTGCCCAGCCCAAACACGTCACTTCAGGCTTGCTCTTGTCTAGTCCTATAGACTACACACCCATTAGCGGTTGTGGCACACTAGACGCACTCCCAGATGGGATGTTGCAGTTTAGTTTCATTTAAAAGGAATCCAGTTAATACATTTCAAGGCTATTCTATGATAGGAATCAAGCGCAGTAAGTGGAATTCAAGAGCACGCTGCTGAACAGAACTAAATCACTAATACAGATTCACCTTCAGAGCATACTATTTTTCCTCTACACCTGACCTGAGCTCTTCCTACCGGTCAGTTCAAAAGAATGACAGCACAGTCATCTCCTGAGTCACTACAGCAATATCACCTCTTACGGCTGTTGGCAAAATAGACTTTAACTTCGGAAAATGCCTGGAAGAGCTCCTTCTTGTTCCAACTGCATGGAGCAGGGACAGCAAGGCGCAACCAAGCACTGAAGAAGGGGAAGGAAGAAAGGAACGTGACAGCAAAGCTCAAAGGACAAAGAGAAACAAGTCACTCCAGCCATTCCAACCTTCCCGAACAGGCAGTGAGCTCAGGACAACTTCACCTTCTAAAATATGCTGAGCTTTACGATAAATAACTCCAGAACCAACAGCAAATGTTATATATTTTTCACAGATAACACTGCTGCAACAATCTGCCACTCAAATAGTTTAGCATGATTATTATTTTTCAGGAAAATAAAATAGAAGATTTCTACATATTTAATAGGCCTAGCTTAAAGAACCCCCTGGAACACGCCACCTAGATTATCCTACCCCAGCAGAGAGGTGAAATGACACAAGCTAAAGCAAGTCTGCCTAATATTAAGATTTCCTTCACATGCAAAGTAACTCCAGTTAGTCAGCTTCCAGTTGTCTTCTCACAGAGAGTTGCAGCAGCTAGGACAGGAATTGAGCCTCCTTTGGAAAGCCAAAAATGCTGTCTTCAGATAGGTTACATTTTGGCAGCATAAGTAATAACTTTTATACAGATAGCCAGTTTTTGTAGCAATTAAAAGCAGAACGTATCAGGTTACTTGGAAATTTTACCATTTCACAAAAACAAAGCTTCTAGACGTTTAAGGGATCAGATTCACAAACTGGTTGCTAAAAGGGTAAAAGCTTACTATGTATTAAACAAACTACAGTAGCTATCTGCCTGCAGACTTGCTCACAGTAGATACAAGTGGCATCACCTTATCTCACAGAAGTAAGGGAAGATGGGTAAGCTACACTGCTCACTTGCTATACCACCAGAACGTGATCAGTCTCAACTCTTACCCTCGCTAAATGTAAAGAACACTTCAGATTGTCCAAAATATAGCTACAGACCAACTACTTCATATACGCCCTTTCATAAACTTCTTGGAGAAATCATAAACTACATTCAACAACATTATCAGCCCCTTGACAAAGATTATATATAAATTTGACTCCTGTATTATAAGCTGCTCAAAAATTACGTATTGGTCTGATACTGGTCAAGGTCTTTTGTGAAAAATTAAAATTAAAAATACATGAACACAAAACCTCATTTCTATCAATTTAGTTAATAACCCTCCCCTTGTCTGGGATCATCAGAGGAGCTGAGAAGACAAAAAACCAGTCTTACAAATATAACACTGATGGCTAATGCTTCATACAGAATGAGAGGGGGAGGGAAAAAAAAAATCAAAAGATAATACTGAAAAGCTTTATATTTGTGACAATGCTTTTCATAGCTCAAGACAAGCCAGCATTTCAGGTCCTTGTTTTTACTTCATTATAGCAATAAAGTCTATGAATACAAATCTCATTCCCTCTCTTCAGATACAATACCCCCTGATTTGAAGCTTGGCTTTATCCTCTGGAGTATTAACTGTTTGCCGAATACTTTACATTTATCAGTTCTGTTGACCATATTTTGAAAAACAGATAGTAGCTTCTTCCAGCAGAAAACAGTCCATCAATGCACAATGAAAAGTAATCTTTGTGAGCAAATTGAATCAGCAGCTCTGCCAAGCTCAGGGTTAAACCCTGCTTATCCCCTGACCTCTCAAGTGTAATAACAACATTCTTATAAGAGATGACCCAGTTTATTATAGACATTCCTGGCACTTTGCCAAGCACCTCATAATACCCACTGCACATGCAGTATTTGTGGTGCAAATCTAGCGTCTATAATTGGTATGAGTAATTACATTTCAGTGGAGTGTCCTTATCCTGTCTTTTACTACAGCTTCCCTTTTTTAGATCATTTTTTAATGCATCAACAGAAAACGCTGCAGGCCTTTCACACACACACAAACTATACAGAATTTTCAGATTAATAAAAGGTGCGTTTCAAAATGAAGTAACTACAGCTTCATTCTAAATGACTATTGCATTTATGCTGTGGCAATCTGGGCACTGTAGGCAGTGACATATGGGAAGTTGTGTCTGCTTACAAAGCACTGAAATTATATATTAAATAAATTAACTGACTGGGTTCCCTTCTGAAGCTCTAGTGAACCATACTAAGGTAAGCGCTATTTCTAGCGCAAACATCTGCTTAAGCTGTTTGTTCTGGTCTTCCATACAAGGTTTGTATATTTGCATTACCTTGCTATTCAGTGACAGCCTTCTTCACTCTTACGCGTATGTCAAACGAACACGAGGAGAAACTAAGAAGTTGTGATACCATTTCTGATAGAAACTTCATAAAGTTGTTTATTAAATATGAACTGTGTCCCAGAGCACTTGACAAAACGAAAGGCTTCTCATCAGAACTGTAGCTTCTTTCAGGAAAAAAATGTGGGTTTAACTATGATGGCTATGAGCAAAGTAATCTTAAAATCAAAATCAAATCTCTCACAACAAATTTTAGTCCCTACCCCCGAGAGAAACTCATGTAGAATTAGCAAGAAAGCTCACAGACTAATACTGTTTTAGTACATTTTAAAGGTTTTCTAAAGTTTACTAAAAAGGAGAATAGGACCAACAGTCATTCTTCCCTCCAATACTCTCCAGCAGCCCCCAAAATCTTATGAATCAGAGGCACCTTCTACTTCCTACTCTAAATGTCTCTCACAAACATGTTCAACCTCCTTTTGAGCCAGCCTAAAAAATTTTTCACTTCCACAGCAAAAAGTTCCACAGTGTCATTGTACCTCATCTGAAGAGCCACTTGTCTTGTTTTGAGCGCACTACCTTCATGTAATGCCTATTCGTACACTGGAACAAATGAGTCCTCCTTTGTCTTCTCTATTCCTTTCATAATTTGGAAGGCCTCCGTCATGCTCCTCCGTTCCCTCCCAGTCCTCTGTTTTCAAGCCTGAAGAAAAACAGCCTATTTGGCTGTTCGTTATATGGCTATTCCACACCTTTGATGACTGTTACTGCTTCTCCATTGTATTTTGGGAGGAATGGGAAGATCAGAAGCGTATACAGCATTCAAAATGAGAACAAACCCTAGATTTTCTACACTGGCATAATGTTACTTTGCTTTGTTTCCTGTTTCCTTATGATGCCAGCATTCAACTCTGAACTACTGAATGTATAACTGACATTTTCAGAGGAGTAGCAGTTAATAACCAAAGTTCTTATTTGTAAGTGGTAATAGTTAATGCTGAATCAATAATTTCATATAGAAGTTCCCCCTCTCCCATCTGCTCCATTTAATATTAATTATTCTTACTCTTATTTTGTACTTCTTAGTTCTTGATTTCATTGCCTAATATCCATGTGAGGTCCCTTACCGCTTAGCAGACTTCCTATCTTCTTGTCCAATGA